CCCCCAGCCTCTCTCCCCCTCCGCTGCAGTGGTCTAAGGTCCTCTAAATCAGCACATTCTATAGATATTCTAAACCTTATTTTTGAACCTAGACTGAAATGAGCACTTAACCCTTGCAGTGCAATGGTTCATAAAAAAAATTCTTGGAGTTCTTCTTTAAATTAATGAGGTGTATAGAGTTATTATGCTTCTCTATATATTTTCTAGTATAAGGTTAGGATAGAAATGCTGCACAATTATGGGCTAGTTTAGGTCTCTGAACACACAATTTGTCAAGGTGAAAAACTAATTTTGCACAAAAAGTAATCTACTGGGAAACTTGCTTACATTTGGAATGTGTGGATTCTTTAATCCGTCTAGGCACTAACTGAACGACTGGATATGGTGCTGCTGGAAAAAGCAGAAAGCCAACAACAGCTGATATCTCTGAAGAAAGAATATGCTAAAACAAAAGAAGAAGCTGAGGTAAATAGAACATTCCTTATCAATAGTGATTTTTAAGTTCTGCCCTTTAGGCAAAACTTCAGGCTTTGGTACTAGGTAAAAAAGAAGGATCATTTTTGATTGGAGTAGGAGGGGTGGTGATGTGACATCCTTCTCTAATCACAAAATATCTTGTAGTCTTAAAAAAAATACAAGATATTTTGTGATTGGATGATGAGGGGCGGGTGATGCGACCAGAGCCCTGTATAGATCGGGTCTCATCTTTCTCCCTTCAGTGCCCAAAAGCATGGCATTTTGGGCAGGGAATGGAATGCTGCAGGGTAAGATTTTTATACTTTGCAACAACCCTCTGCACATAGCTTTTTAATGACCGTTTACACACCCAGTGCGCTATGTAACTTACCATGTTACCCACTTAGCCACTTAAAGTGTGGCTTTAAGTTTATTAACCCATTACAAGCAATTTTCGCTTTGCTGAACCAGCAAACCAACACAATTTGAATTTGATCTGTATTATCAGGGCTTGAAAAATCCACCAGTCCACTTGTCTGTGACGAGAGGACGGTGGAGCCCGACGAGCAGCTTCCCGGCCGGCCGTTGTAATTACACGGTCGGCCAGGAGCTTAACACAGTCAAGCGATCGAGCGTCTCTAGAGACGCTCGATCGCTTGTATTAGCAGCTGTCACTGCCGTTGCCGGTCACGAGATCCGCTGTGCCCCGTGGGATCACAAAAGAAAGCTTTATCTGTCCCCCCAAATTTTTTAACATAAATTGCAAGGCTATAGTCCGGTCATGCTGACTGGTGAAATTTTTTACTGACTGGTGAGACACCGTCACATTTTTCAAGCCCTGTGTATTATATTATTATAAAGCATTAGCAGGTATAGATCTGCAATGTTTTAGAGCTTTTGTCACTCATGTTTTGTTGGGCAGCTGTGTTATATACTATTGGATCACCTAACTTTTGCAGTGGCTGATACTTAGGATTTGATTTACTAATGGCAACTGGGCTGTTCACTTTGCAAAGGAATTTGCCCATAACTTAATAAATGAGGTGATGTTCTGCTGACTTCCATCATCCGATCATGTTTTTATGTTCATTGTACATGATTGTTGCTGAAATTTCACTAAGGTAACATTTCCTTGGAAAGTGAACAGCTTATTTGTCATCAATAAATAACCTCATAGCATACAGCTCTGCATGTAAAGATAGTTTACATAATCCTGTAGATAGGCCCAGTATGACTGAGGCGTGTTTGACTTGTGATCTATCTCTACTCAAGTTTGACATGGTCACATATTACCTTTTTTTTTGTAACAATCTTGTTTATTTTTTTAAGCATGTAGTATTTATTGGATTTTCAAGTCAGATACATTTGTTTTTCCAGGCATGTGCTATAGTTTGCCTAGCTCCTATAAGAATATAAATGCCAAATTGTGTTGTGTATTAATCAAAGAGCGTTGTTGTAAATGAGCAATCCAGAGGTCTTTAGGCAGGTGAAACTTCAGATCGCTATGCCAAAGTTCAAACGGCTTGTTCCAAAAGCGGCTTAGCATAGAGGACTCCCACCATATATATATTGTTTTTTGAGGAGCAGCGGGTGGTCAACAGTGTCAAAAGCAGCATAGAGGTCTAATAGCAAGAGTAAGGAATAGTGGCCGTTGTTTTTAGCTGTTATTAGGTCATTGGTGAGTTTTAGGAGGGCTGTTTCAGTGGAGTGTTGAGGGCAAAAGCCGGACTGAAAGGGGTCCAAGAGGTTATTTGTGAGGTGGCAACTCGGGCGGTTGTAGATAAGGCGTTCTAGTAGTTTAGAGGTGCATGGGAGTAAGGAGATAGGTCTGAAATTATTGAGGTTGGCAGGGTCCAGTGAAGGTTTTTTGGGTATTGGGGTGACTAGTGCATGTTTGAGAGGGGTAGGAAAGATTCCAGTAGAGAGTGAAAGATTGAAAATGTGAGTAAGAGTGTAGGATAGAGCAAGAGGGTGACTGAAGAAGTTTTGAGGTAACAGGGTCCAGGGGGCAAGTGGTGAGGTGGGTGTCAGGGAGGAGGATATATAAACATCCCCAGTGTCAAGACAGCCATGGAACATGAAGCTGAAGAGGTGGGATACACACATTGCCTTTTTTGTAGAGAATTCAAAATGAATTAATGCAGATTTCTGGCATATAAACTTTTCTTTCAAGGGATTACTTTCCAACCATGTAATATAATCCTTATACTGAAAAATGGCCTGGATGGGAAGGGGGTTTAACACCGCGGATGTCAACTGGTTAATAAAGCATTATACAGCAGCAGGAATTTCTTTTGTAAAAGGTTTAAGTATTTTTTTAATTGTACACAAGTGTTTAACTACATTTACACTTTTGCCATTTTGTCTTCCAGAGTGCTATAACAAAAGCAACAGAGGTGCAGCAAAGTATGGAACATTCAAAAAATTCTTTGCTACAAGAAATTGAAGTATTAAGAAATGATTTGCTGCAAACTCAGAACAATCATAAAATAGATGTTGATGCCCTAAAGAAGGAACTTCAGGATGCACTCATGAAGCAAAAAGAGCTGACTGATGGTCTGAGCTTACAGGAAAACAAAGATGTAGAATTAAGAAAATTGGAGGAAGACGTTCAACATATCCGTCTGACTTATGATGAAAAAATAGCTAGTTTAGACAAAGCAATGAAGGGTACAATAGAGGAGAACAACCAACTAACAGCAAGGCTGAAAGAAGCTCAAGCAACTTCAGAGCAGTATAGTGGTGAAAATCACGTTCTCCATGCAGAGATACTGAAACTGCAAAGCTTGCATTGTGATGAAGTTGCAAATTTAATGCGGCAACTTGAAAAATCCACAAAACAATGTGAACAGGAGAAAATAGTACTACAAGACTTGATTAAGCAGTATGTGGAGAAAGAGAAGTTGCTACAAGAGGAAATGAGAGCAGATAACCAGAAGAATGCAGAAGAAATTGAAATTCTTCAGAAAAAGTTGGAAGAGAACTCCAATGTACCTGAAATACAACATAGCCCATCTATATGCAGTGATGACATACATCGGATGGAGAGCATTGTAGCAGATCTGGAGTCTCAGCAAAGCATGCTAAAAGATGAGCTCACCTATACTAACAATTTGAAAATTAGCCAGGAAAGGAAGGTTGAGCATCTAAAAAGTGAATATTTCCATGAGAGGGAGGAATTGGAATTTAAAATAAATGAACTTCAGCTTGCCATTGAAGATTATAATGGTTTAACCGAAAAACTACAGAATGAGCTCCGGACCAAAAAAATTGAATATGAACAACTTTCCCAACAAAGAACTGAAGAGATGAAAAATATAAGAGAGCAGCACAAGAGGGAAATGGTAGAAATGAAAAGGTCAATAACATCACGCTTTGAAGATGAGAGACTATCATTCCAGCATGAAATACAGCTTCTAAAAGAACAGGTTGGCCAAATTAACCAGGAAAAAGAGGAAGCTGTGAGCGGTTATGAAGGCTTACGAGAAACATTCCTCAGCCTTCAGTCTGAACTTGGAGAGTCGGCTGGTAAGATCAGCCGGGAATTTGAAGCAATGAAGCACCAGCAGGCCACAGATGTCAATGAGCTGCAACAGAAACTCAGATCTGCTTACAAAGACAAGAACAATGTTCTTGAAACTGTAAATCAGCTTAAGAGTGAAGTTGAGTTACTTTCAACCAAACAAGGAGAATGCGAAGAACTTCAGCTTAAGATAGCTCAACTGCAACAAATAAATGAGGAGGTTATAGCATCTCTACAGCAGAAAGAACACCTGCTAAAAGATTTGCAGTCCAAAATGAATGAAACCGCAGCAGAAAATGCAGAGATATCTTCTACTTTGAAAGTGTCAATGAAAGAAATACAGAAACTGCACGAAATGTATAAGAGTGAGCAAGACAAGGTAAAGGTGTTACAGCAAGAAGCAGAAACACATGCAGCAAACAATGAGCAACTAAAGCAAACAGTGGATGAGCTGACACAGAAACTTCAGGAATCTATATTGCCACCTATTCAGAGTGAAAATGAAGATCTTAAGCTGACTCATTTGCAAAAGAATAATGAAGAAATTGCTGCTTCATTACATGAAAAAGAGGGCTTTCTTCAAGAACTTCAGCTGAAAATGACAGAGATGGCCACACAAAATGATGAATTATCAACTAGCATAGATATATCTAGGAAAGAAATCCTGGAGTTAAAAGAAATCTGCAAGAGTGAGGAGACCAAAGCTCTGAATTTCCAGCATCAGACTGAAGAACATGAAAAGCTAAATGCTCAGCTAAAGCAGTCGGTGGCGGAACGAACACAACAGCTCCAAGAGTTGATGGGCAGCAGCCTCAGTGAAATGACAAATCTCCAGCAACAGGTAGATTTGCTGATTACTGACAAAGAGAAGTTGGAAACTGATGCAAGAAGATTGCACGATGAAGCATCAAGAATACAAGAAGAAAAGGAGGTTATATCAAGAGACTTTGCTAGGCTTGTGTGTGAACATAGTGGCTGCATGACTTCCAAAGATGAGCTAGACAACGTAAGAATTAAGTTTCAGATGGCATCAGAAGGAAAAGATAAAGTGGCAATTCTGCTTGAGCAGAAAGAGCGATATGTGGAAGAGTTAAAAACTGAGCTCCGTGTTGTTCAGAACTTGTTGGCAGTTGAATGCTTAGATCCAGATATCAGTATTGTGCTTCAGGGTATTAATAAGGCAGTGCTCCAGTTAAAAGAAGAAAAGCAGGATGCACTTTTACAGAGAGAGGAGACATCTGTTCAGCTTAATCAACTGCAAGGAGAGTTTGAAGCTCAGTGCTCTGAGCTAAGAGCTCTCTTGAGTGACTATTCCAAGGAAAAGGTACTTCTGAAAAAAGAACTGGAGGAAACGCTCGCAGACAAAGAAGCACTGCAAAGAGATCTCTTTGAGATGAAAAATGCACTTGAAAAATCAAAACTAGAAAATCAGGAGTTACTTCTGCGTATTGAAAGTGTGACTTCAGACATGAATTCTCTGAAAGAGAATGTACAGGATGAATTAGGTACGACCGAAAACAAGGAGTCAGCTGTCAGTACACAAGAAGTGAATTGTGTCCAGGTGAGGAATTTCCCACTTAACCTTCCATCTAGTCAGTTGCTTTTTTTGCTTCTCTACAATGACATTCATTCAGTGCTTAATTGATGCTCATGTGACTGGCTCACATTATTCTCTGGCATCCTAGGTGTAGCTGTTGGTTCAGTGCAAAATGTTTGATGCCTGAAGGATAATCACAAACTTGGAGAGACAAGAGAAAGAAAATACATTTATTGATACATATTTATGAATATTTTCAATGCACTTTATAAATGCACTGTAAATAAGTAATTTACTTATCTCAGAGTATAGCATACACATGTTATCCTTTTGCCAACATATTATTTTGTTTAGACACACACATTTTGTAATTTTTGTTTTAGGGAATGTACCCCTGGAAGATTTTTTTTTTTAATTTTTGTTTTAGTTCCCTTCCTGTTTTCAGTTCACCCGACAGTCTTTTTCTCACCTGTCCCCGATCCAGCAAGATCTTGGCAGTGCAGCTTCTTTGGTGCCGCGCAACTGATGATAAAAATCTTGGCCAGGCCTATGCATACACTCTGCAATCTCCTTTTTAGTATTATGTACAGCTTGTACTTGAACAATTACACTTTAATGTCCTATTGTCTTTCTAACCTTCTGGGGGGAATTTATCAATCTCATACGAGGACTGCAGTACCAAGACTAAGAAGAAAACCCCTTTATAGTTACAGTTACCATGCTCACATTTCCTGTAGTTGTGACTATGCAAGGGGGGGTGTCGAACCACTGGAGAAAACCCAGTGCTCTTGCACAGAATGCAGCATTCTCTTTTTCAGCAGGCCTCCAGGAAATGGTAGAACAGGAGTTTAAGATGTTATTGGGAATAGTTGTGTGGAATTAATGTGGGATAGACATTTGTATAAATGTTCACACTTAAACTATTGGGCTTATGTTTTTATTTTAGGAAATTCTTTTAAAATCAGAAGCAATGAAACTTGAACATGAAACACTTGTATCAGACCTGCAAAAGAAAATAGGTATATTCGTTTATCATTTGTATGTATGCATATTGATACTGAGCTTAGTGTTAGCCTGCCACTACAGTCTGCTAATTGTATGTGAAACCTACACATATCTATAACAATAATATATGCCAAGCTACTAAATAAATGTAAGCATCAAAACATAAACATCAGTGCACAAAAGTCTCATAAAAGTGAAGATTCAAAAGTGATCACAGAGGTTATGATTAGGGATGTCCCGATACCACTTTTTCAGGACCAAGTACAAGTACTTCCCCTCATGTACTTGCCGATACCAATTACCGATACTTTTTCTTACAGGGGCAGGTGAAATTGTTTTTAAACTATACAGACTAATGATTTTAGGCCAATTTCTTTATGATTATGAAGAACTTTAATTTAAGACAATAAAACATTTTTATTTGCTTTCACACAGCTGTCGTGAAACTACAAATCCGATCATGCATCTGCCTTTGGGATCATTTAACCTATTCATGTTAGCAGGGGAGAATTGTAACTCTATTGCTGCAGTGTACTGGAAGTGTGTACTATGGATCATTTAACCTAGTACACACTTCCAGTACACTGCAGCAATAGAGTTACAATTCTCCCCTGCTAAAATGAATAGGTTAAATGATCCATACGACGACTACATGTTATGTACTATGAATCAGGATTTAACCTATTCATGTTAGCAGTGGAGAAATTGTAACTATTGCTGTAGTGTAGTGGAGGTGTGTGCTGTATATATGTACTACATATACAGTACACACTTCCAGTACACTGTAGCAATAGATTTACAGCCAGCCCTGACCCAGCTCCCCTCACTCACATTTCACTCCGATCCCTGTTGCCTCATGTAGTCGGCGCTGGGCAGGATCGCTGCATCGCGTCTCGGTGCACAGCTTGTGGGAGGCGCTCACAATTCTGCCCTGCTAACATGAATAGGTTAAATCATGATCCATAGTAATTGTAAATCCATTATCTGCAGAGTGTACTCTATAGGTAGTACCTATAGAGTACACAGTGCTAATACACTGCAGACAATAGATTTACAATTATCCCCTGCTAATATTAATATGTACTTAATAAGGACCCCATGCCCTCACTTACTGCTCACCATGTGCCTCCCTGGTGAGGTCGTAGTCGGCGCTGTGCGGTAAAGCAGCAGCGAGTCAGCGCTGGTCCAGTGGGAGGAGCTCCAGGTGGGGGTCCTAATTTAGCTGGCCGGCGACTGCCCAGAGGTGCCGCGCGTCTCGGGGTCCTCTGAGCAGTCGCCGGCCAGCAAAATTAGGACCCCACCTGGAGCTCCCCCCATCGGACCAGCACTGACTCACCGGTGCTCTCCCGCACTGAAGGTAAAGTAAAAGAAAAAAATAGCGCAAGCATATTACAATATAAGGAAGACATTACAGTTACAATACAATTCAAGACAAGATGGTAATACAGTAGTGGTCAAAGGAGTCTGGTGAGTGTATTGATTGCACAAAAACACTAAGGATATTACACTTCGAATTACCTTTTTGGAATGTTTTTTTTTTTTTGAGACCATTTTGTGGAGTTGCACATGTGATCTGGATCCCAACACGTTGCACATGCAGTTTTTGAGATTGTATTGAATTTAACTATAGGGGAGGTCACATACTATGTTGGGACTATCACTATGCACTTTATTGTATATGCATAAGTTGTAACATTTTTAGCTCAGTGACTTTGTCTTGCGAATCATTTTTGGTTTATTTTCTTTTTTTTAAATCTCTAATTATTATAAATGATCTAATTTACAATTAATTCCCCCTCTGTGATTAGTAGCATAGTGGTATAGGTAGTGATATATTATACTGTCTATAAGCATATGATCGTTTCCCAGTCTTACCGCGATTGGATTCCTATATGACTTATATTATGTATTGGAGTCTAATTTTTCAATTTTCTAAATTGTGATCAGATTGAAGGAAAACAATACACCCAACAAATACTTCCATGAACAGATACACAAGCTTGCTTGCTAACAGCCTGCTCTTTTGTTTTTTTAGAGGCAATGCTATGGTTTGTTTTTTTTTTTTTTTTTTTAATGAATATATATTATATTGCTTGAATAAAAATCACCAAACCTTTAGTAGTAAGTCCGTACAGATTGGTAAAAGTCCTTATAGATGTTCTAATAATATATTATTACATGGTATGCCATTATAACAAAATTATATCCTAGAATAAGTAAATATTTGCTTATATATTTTGTCTTTTATTTCTAGAAAATCTAGGGAAAGAATGCAAAGAGAGAGAAGAAAAATGTAATAAAATTAAAGCTGTTGCTATCAAAGCTAAGAAAGAGCTAGATGCCAATAAAAAGGAGGTAAACCACCTTTCTCACTGTTTATGTGATGTTTAGAACAAAACTATCTGCACTTATGCTGAGTTAGACAGGGAGAGGTTTTTTTGGGTCAGCCTGTGAGTGTGCCACCACCCCATTTGGCAGTCCCTGCAGGTAATTGGCTTTAAGCACTGTTCGGCCAACAATTTTCCAACATTTCCCCTAATCTGGCCATCCACTGAAATATTTTCTTTGTTCACCCTTTGGGCTGAACGAATAAAATATTGCAGAGTCCTCCAAGGCTTATGAGCGTTGATAGATAAATCTCCCGCTGTCTGCTTTGTCTGAATTCTCGAACAGAGTGGGCAGCTGATTGGCTCCACGCTCTGTTTGCTCCAAGATTTTCTGGCCAGCTCCTTTGATCAGCTGATCAAGGGATGCTGGCCAAAAGGGTGCTGACAACCCTTCCCATCGAGAATCGGCCAAAATTCGCGGTGTATGGCCTGTTTTAGAAGGAAGTTGATCTAATGATTGACTTTTTTTTGTTGCGGAGGATCAAAATTAAATCTTAAGGCTGTTCAACAGCCAAGCATATATTGTAAGTGACAGTAGAAGGTGGATACTGATAAAAGCTAACCTTGCAATGTTATACCGGTGCTGAGAGAATTATGTAGGTTGATCTCCCTTTCTAAAAAGGTAGTTACCTTGCTGGCTTTGGCTCTGGTACTTTGTTAATCATGAACTGGGAACAGGTTATCAGCCAGTGAAGTACACTGTTTATTGGTGAATGAAATTATAGATAAAACGAGAGTGGGGGGAATTTATCAAAATCTGGAGCAGATTTGCACTGCAACCAATCAGCATCTATCAATTTTCAAATCTCACCTAAGCAAACGGAAGAGAGATGGTGATTTGTTGCCATGGGCAACTGCTCCAGTTTCTGTCTGCTCCAGTTTTGATACATTTCCCCCCAGTGTCTTTTCAAGACCATTTGTTGAAACTGTTTATTTCCAAAAACATCCATCTGGCATATGAGTATGTCAGATAGTGATACTCACTGCTAGTTCTCTGGTGTAGCCCAGGGAATAAACACTGTGTCTACTGATAGCATGACTACAAAGTTTGTAAAGCCTGTAATCTACTAAAAAGAAAGTTAAATATGTTTTGTGCTTCGCTGAAACAGCTATGCGCAGAACTATTGTACATGTTGAACTTGAATTATATCTACTCAACTTTGTTTTATCATAAGGTTCAGGCAATAAGAAAAGAATTAGAGCGGGTAAAAGCAGAAAAGGACCAGATGACATATTCAGTGAAGGACCTTGTTCAAGGGGCAGAAAGCTACCAGGTACGTTTTTTGTTTCTTTTAGGCCCCTTCACACCTCTGCTGAAATACACTTTACACTTTTAAAGCAGTAGGAGGCGGCAGCAACAGCAGGGCCCTGTAAGCAAACAGCTGGGAGTTTGCCTACATGTGTAAAGCCGACAGCAAAACATGGTAGTGCATTACCATGTGTGCAATGCAGATCCATTGCCTTAGTGTATTCACTTGACACAGACACTGTAATCTCTAGCCTGGCAGCTCACACCACTAACTCCCCACTTAACCTCTGCTGCTGACTGGGAGGACTGCTGCCAGCATCTAGAGCTACACCTGACAGCTTCTCAGCAAAGGCACAACTCGCAACCACGCCAGCAACCATCCCTCCAATTCTTCCCTTTCACCAGTGTGTCCTAACCACCATGCCTAAACCCTTGCCTTGTCGCAAAATCATTTTTCTCCCCACCCCTGGGCCTCTCACCACTGTGTCTGACCGCCATCTTGCCCTCTCCCCCCTGCTCTTACAACCTCTCCCACAAGACATTCTTCCGTCTTCCCATTGGCAGAGACCATGTAACAGATGCCTCAGCGTTGGTCAAGCGATTGGTTACCAGATGCCACAAACCTGCTCATGTATGCTTGTTACTTGGTTAACCATACACTGCTGAATATTTAAAAATAGTGCATGTTATCTAAACATCCTTTTGCATCAATATAGAGGTTAACATGTATAAGTGTTAGCCATTAGTTAACACACTATATATCTGTACCCCAGCATCTGTGTTAAAGCCCATCTGTGGGCAAACCTAAAAGCTGACCTTGCAGTGGGGCTACCCCTGCACTGCAGGAGATAAGCGCTTGTTTATGCCTAGGGGGCAGGAAAAAGCCAGTTTACTTACCTTATCTCCTGATCTTGTGGCGTGAGGACGCCAAGGGACATTACACCACCAGGAGGAGGAGAAGAGGAAAGCACTGACCGCCAGGCGAATGCGATAAGTAAAAGTGCTTTACTCTGATCCCCTAGGCATAAATGAGCAGCTAACTGTTGCCTAGAGGTGGCCTTTAAAGTGCACCACATGGCACTTGAAATGCTTTGACAGCTCATTCATTTTGAATAGGCTGTCTAACGCAACACCACCTTAGTTCATAAACGTTTGTGGATTGCAATGCACTTTGTGTTGGGGTAATAAAGACCCAGTTCACACCATTTGGCAGAGATCACATGACCAAGGCCTTGAACTACAGAAAGGAGCTTGTAGCAGCATTTTTGTCCAGGAGAGGCAAGTGTTTCAGCCTTTCTGTTACTCCTTTTATTAACCAACAAGACTGATTAATATAGCTTTATGACAACATCATGGTTTATAGATCACTTCGTTTGAACCACTAATTACTTATTGGATTGTTATTTACGGTAATAAAAACATTGGTTGCTTTTATATTCATCATGATTACCGATATTGAGCATACATGATAGTAGATCAATTGGTTCTTGGCATTTCAGAATCTCGCGATAGAGTACGATAAACAAATGGAACTGCTGGAAAATGAGAAGGAGCGTGCCACCTCTACAGAACATCAACTGGAAGAGCTTTCACGGCAGTTACGTGCTGCTCTTCTGGAGGTAGGTCCAAAACATTTTCTTTCTTGATTTTAATATTTATTTAAACACATTTCTGTTTCTTAGAAGTTGTTTTGAAAATGTTCTCCCCCTTATGACCACTGTTTTTTTAGTGGAGGATTATTGATGCATATATAGCCACCCCCTCTTTATTACATTTGTTTTTTGCATCCTTCAGCCATTTGACACTAAGATCCTCCTGCCTACTAATGGAAACCTTTTCTCTGAGAAATCTGGAAGCTGCCATTGCTCTCCTCTTTCTGAAAATTCTAGTTGCCTGTCTGATGTAGAACAAGTATGCAGATAAGGGTGAGCATTACTACCAGACAACTAGCATTTTCAGAGGATTTTAAGCAACAGCCCCATATTTCTTTTATCAAAAGTTTATTTCTTACCAAGACTGAAATAATGTAAACTAATCTCTAAAATAACCCCTTAACTCTGCAAGCCCCAATACATAACACTTTTTTACATTGAGACTTAACCCCACTCTTAAAGGAGAATTATGGGGAGAGTTAAATGCACTCATGCCCATAATTGGAGCCGAAATGTGACACTGAAGCTGTCACACGTCAGCTCTATTGATCGGGTATTGAATGATCACATACTGCTGTTCGCTGTGTTCCCGATCTTCTCCCTGCAGAGAGCGGTGACTGTCAGTCACCACTCCTTGCCTGATTCCCCCCTCCCCTTTCCTTTCCTCCAGCGCTTAATGGAGGAAGAGACGGGAGGGGGCGGGCACATCTGGCTCAGCCTCTAGAGAGGCAGAGCCAGCTGTCAATCAGGCAGCGAGGTGGATCCCGACAATATTGGTCGGGATTAGGCTTTGCGCTGTCGGCATATAGCGGGCAATAGCTCACTATATGCTAGGTTTTGGTTTAAAGGAGGACATTCGTATGTTTGTTAGTATGTCCTCCTGTGACCCTAAAGAAAGCTATGGCAAAAAAAGGTTGGGCCATAGTTCTCTTTTAACAACTAACCTAAATCTTGAACCATAAAGCCCTAACCCCTTACAGTTAACCTAAGCATCTGGGCTGCTGACCCTAATGCTAACGTAACCCTTAAAGCAAGATGCTTACTTTTATCTTGGCCAAGGGAAGCGAAAGATAATAATCCCACACTGAAAACTAACAGTGCCAGGAGATTTCCCAGTGCTGAAAACTGATTCAAGCTATGTATGCACTTTTCTACTGCATTGATGTGCATTGCATAACCTGTGTACTTATGTAATTACAGGTAATTTCACACTAAGGGGTCTATTTAGAAATTTTTTTCACCCAGGATACTCACATTTTTCCACGTAAATACATTTTAAAAATGTGTGAATCATGGGTGAAAGTTGTGCGAATCTTGTGAAATAAATAATAACATTTATAAATGCACTCTTAAATATACTTTTACCTTCTGTATTATCCGGCCATTAACATCTAGACTTGCACTGCAAATTTCTCTTGTTACCTGTTGGCATTGTAAACTCCGATCCTTGGTGAACTTCCAAAAGATTTGGAAATAATTGTAATTTATTTGATCAATTACAGTCAGTGCAGTCCCTTTTTCTCTCCCGTTCATTGAAGGACACAGGGAACAGATCGGAGATCATGTACTGTAGGGTAATATCGCCACCTGCAAGAGAAGGACGCTGCGGCCGCCATCTTTGGTGTGGGCGCGTGCGCCCTCGGTCTGCCTTCACTTCCGGTGCGCCGCTTCCGGGTCCCTTTACTTGCGTGTCACCCGGCCGGATCGGTCTTTCACGCTGGGACGCGGTCGGGTGAGGACGCACTGGGACACCGGGAGTTCGGGTACTGTAGGAGGGTCGTCTGCTTGCGGGTCTGTTGCTAGGGGCAACTGCGACAAAAGACCTAGGGACGGGGGCGGTGCCTGCCGGGGTCTTGTCAGCAGGTGGGGGGTTTGGCCACCGGCAGGGGCCGCCCCTAGGCTGTAATTGGTCTTTAGTTTTTTTGTGCCTAGCGTCCTTCTCCTGCAGGTGGCGATATTACCCTACAGTACATGATCTCCGATCTGTTCCCTGTGTCCTTCAATGAACGGAGAGAAAAGGATTTTACGGTGAGTACCAAAATCCTATTTTTTTTTTTTATCAGTGGTGTATATAAGAAGGTATGGTGCGAGGGCTGCATATATTTTTTTTACATTTTTATATATCATGTTATTTTATTATAAGGGAGCATGTTATATAAAAGTATGTTTGTAGTCAAGCACTAGGTTGTGCTAAAACCACACTTCAACCGTCCAGAAGAGTATTTTATTTATTTTACAATTATCAGGAAGATGACAACAGAGAGCTAACCCATTTCAGAGTCTCAACAATCCCTCTTCATTGTGGCCACAAAAAATACAGAAAAAAGGTGGTAATAAAAGTATATGAAAAGTTATAAAAGCCAATCCCAAGCGGTCATTTATAAGATCATCATTACATGGCAGGCATTTCTTTGAAAGGATACAAGAACAAAAATCGTTTAGTTTTTTTTGGTTTTTTTATACTTTTGTTTTTTGCACAACTCACTGTAAATCACAGGTCTGTTTTAAAGCTGCCATGCAGCCACATTTTGTGTGGAAGGGTAATTCCACTTTCCCAGTTGAATTTGTGAAAAATGAATTACCCCTACCCTCGCTGCTATTACCTGCCAATGAACACTCCTTCCTCTCTGTGGGTGCCGGTGTATGATTGTTCACCTGCAGTCGGTATTTTAAATTCTGTTTGCAAATGGCGAGCACCGATTGGTCAGCACACTGAGAAGCACTTTTGACTGCGCTGACCAATGAGAAGTGCTTCTTATTGGTCAGCACAGTCAGGTGACCATTATGACCAATGAGTTGCTCACCGTTTGCAAGTGGGATTTAAAATACCAAGTACAGGGGTACACTGCTATGTACGGTGTACATTCATACACCGGCAGCCACGGAGGGGAAGGATTGTTCGCTTGACATGTAAGAGCAGCTGGGGAGAGAGGTGGCATATTGGTGGGGGCGATTTCATTTTCCCATTTCGTCTGGAAAAGTGGAATTACCCTTTAAGAATTGATCTGGGGTTTTTTTTTTACCCTTGGACAGGTCCTGTTCTGCAGGGATATGACCAAGCAGACAGATTTGGAGACTTTTTCAGCTGCTACTGTTCCGCAAATAAACCAACAGGCAAGGTGTCTGTCCATGCCTGCCTCTTTCCTTGGCTTTTCTTGCACATCCAAATGCCATTTTGTGGTTATGGGCACCCTGATAATTGCTAGTTATTGTGACCTGCCAGAATTAGGCAATAGTTGTTGTCAATAAGCATACATTCTGTGTCCAAAACTAAAACCAACTTCAGATATCTACAATTAAAATATAAAATTCCATAAAAATACAATGAGTTAGTCACAATCTAATCGTAAACAATTTGCAGTGCCATTCACCCCATGAATCTCTGTGATTGTCGGTTCTGTGCAAACATTTGTTTTGCCTTTATTCGCACAGAACTAACGTTCAAAGAAATTTGCAGTGCAAATGGCTCTGTGAATTGTTTCAAAATAGACCTCCCGGTCTCTGGTTTCACATTTCTCTTACAAACACTACTAGCACTTCAGTGGTGTATAGATGTGACTTACAATGAAGTGTCCACCACTGCTCCAAATTGTATATAGTACTGTAAGTAATAACCATCACCAGTTTTACGTTCACCTGTCTAAGCACTGCCAACCTACTGCAGTGGTGATGGTGTTTGGTTTTTACATAGAATTTGTTGCAGTGGTGGACGCTTCATTGGACCTTAGACATATAAATAGACCTTTTGAAGCGCTATAAGTGTGCCTTTTACCGTATGAACAGCTGTAGTTAGTTTTGAACAATGTACAGTGAAATTTATTGGAGTAAGTTTGAAAACTGCTGTTTACAAGATGTGTGTCAAATGTATTGCAATTGCATGCATAAATTGAAGCATGTTTTAGGGCTCTGTCTGGCATTAAGGAAGTTCAGGCTGAGCTCCCCTAGTAAATTAAACCACATATGTAGATATATTAAGTATGTAAGATGAACAGATTACCTGTAAGGAATAAGAATGAGGTTTTTTCTGTTTCTAACCCAGTCATGCAACTGTGTTCTAGCATGAGAAGATAAATTCTGTCAATGAAGACCTGATGACCCGCATGGAAACAATGAAGTCCAACGTCAAGTTACTGGAAACTCAGTTACTTGAACTGCAGAAAGCTAAAGCTGCACTAGATAAAGACTTGGAAGCTGAAAAACTGATAAAGGAGCAAAAAATTAAGGTAAATATAGTATTCCAAAACACAGGTATGGAAAGCACCAAACATCTGTTTCCAACAAGTGCACGTAGTGATGAGAGACCACCCCTCTCTCATGTATATAGGAAAAAATCCAATCTTTGTTTTATCTGCAGCACCTCATGTGTATTATAATATAAACTGATGCCATGTGGATTATGGATATATAATAAAATACACACTAGGGACTGCAGTCAAAACACATTTTGGATTGTATATACTGTATGTAATGTTATGTGTAAGATTTGTCTGTATTGTTACTATTCCTATAGAGACAACAGTTTGTGTGAAGTTGTTTCCAAAAATATTGAATCTGGCGGTCATCAGCAGAAGACGAGAATGGCAACTAGAAAGCAAATTAATGTTAAGTATTATGGATTTCAGAGGGCTGCAGTGATCATAGGTTCTTTTCTTTTAGGATCACAACAATGCTCTTAAGCAGATCGAAGAACTTCAACAGCGGCTTCAGAAAGAGAAAAAGCAGCTACAGAAAACTGCACAAGAGCTTGAACTTGTTAGAAAGGTAACATACTATGCAACTGTAGCGCTAGGATTGCTATGTCAAGTTGCTTACAAGCTTTGCATGCATTGTATTTTCCAAACCCTATTTATGTTTCCTTCCATTGTGGTGGTTATTGTTTCATGGTACCAATAAATCTATATCGCTACATGTTATAAGTCTCCATGTCCTTATTCCTTAGGATGCTCAGAAGAGCACATTGATGGATATGGAGATGGCTGATTATGAACGTTTGGTGAAAGAGCTCAACCAAAAAGTCACCCATAAAAGCAGTCAGCTGGAGGACCTGAAAGAGGATTATATAAAGTTTGGTAGCTATATGTATCCCAGTTGCCTTATAGCTATATAATCGGTAGATGTTGCCTTTGTTTTTACAATTCTTTATTATCATGTACTGTATATGGTACTGCATTAGCTGTATGATTTACATGAGTTAATGTTTCCAGTGACTCTCTTATCACACCTATATGCAGAACCCAGGTTTATGATTTATGCCTTGCCATGATTTAAATATGCTGTTTTGTATGAGCAGTTTACATCCTGCTTGAAATTCATTAAAAATATTCCTATAAAGCTGTATTTGATTGCATTTCAACTCTATTTCTGTGATTTAGCAACACTGCAAACAACAATAGAGCAGCATGAGGAACGCAGCACTAAGATGAAGCAGCTGCTAGTTAAAACCAAAAAGGAACTGGCTGATTCCAAACAGGCGGTGAGCACCACATGCTGATGTATAACCTGTCATTTACTTAGCTGCTTTCTGATCTCATCACCTTGCTGATATTCACTCTCTATTATAGGAATCTGATCAGTTAATAATCCAGGCCTCACTAAAGGGGGAATTAGAGGCAAGTCAGCAGTATGTGGAAGCCTATAAGGTATGTAAGCGACATGTCAAATAAAGTACAAATCCTAAATAAATAAAGGTATAAATCTTAAATTCTTTGATGGATAATTTGTCTGAGAATATTAGTGACATTAGTGGTGGTTAGAAATATTTTAGGTTGCTCTGTGTGCTATTTTCCTTATTTGAGTTATACTTTGATGTACGTAAAATATCTTTCAATACAGTTTTTATGTTTCCGTTGCTGTGAAGATTCAGGTTGCTGAGCTAACATCTGAAAAGCACAAAGTACAAGAGCAGCTCAGGTCATTGACAGAACAGCATCATCGAGTGGGAAACTCGTACCAACAAAAACTGCTTGCCCTTCAGGAAGAGTGCACTGCGGCAAAGGTATGTAATCATTCATTTTACACTGCATACAGTATGCAATCCACGGTAAACCCCTGCTTATATTCTTTTTCATTTCGGAACACCAGGGGACTCAAGGGACTCTTTCCTGTAATATTTCTTATAACAATTCTGAGTTTCTAGTAGAGTAAAGCTCAGTGTCCAGTGTATCAAAAAAACAACTTTTGTTTTCAATGAATTCTAATGGAATTTTACTTTGCTTTTAGCATTAGTTAGTATTGTTTCCTATCATTCATGTTTAAGATGTTATGGTTAGCTGACTTTTCAGAATATCTGCATTGCTATTGTTTTGTGTCACACAGCACAGCATTGGCAGTAACTATTCTTTCTTAGGTTAATGACTGGCTTTTATGTACACCTAAATCGGCATCCGGTATTGCAGAAAGGGTGTTAAATCTCACCCATGACCTTACTGAAAGATGTATTCTTGATTATTATAATATTTAATCATCAAACCAGTCACACTTACAACTGAATATCCTCAAGGCTCTTTTTAGCCACTGATTTGCCTTCATTTAATGATCATGTCTGGGAAATGTATTATCACTGATTTTCCTTATTGTCTTTGCTAGAACAGTATGCCAGAACTATCCACTGGTAAATATAATTATAATGTGAAGCACCACTGAATCATACTAAACTTTAAACCAGTGAGCACACAGGAGGACAATGTAGTGTTTTAGTGTGAACTTAGCAGAAGAAGGGGATTGCTGTTCACATATAGAATGAACTGGAATTTACATGAATAATACATGCATTGAATAAATAAGACTGTTTAAAGAAGAGCAACTTATGTTTTTGTTGAAGGCTTTTTTTATGTGAGACATTGCCATTGTCATGACGTTGGGATAGTTTGCAGTAGCACAAGAGAGAATTGTTTAAGGGCTTGTTAGTCTGGGTTTTACACCTATCCATTAATGCGATTTATCCATTTATAAATCTGTGTATGTGTGTGACAGATTACCTTGGCGGCAAAATTAATTTTTATTTATTGTGCATTAGCTGACACAGGATCATACGTGTTAGACCATGGGTTATATGCTGCTGCCTTCAGGTGATTGGACACGGGCAAACCAAGCTGAAGCACAGCCCTAATATAACCCCTCCAACATTCAGCAAGCTTCAGTTGTTTACTACTATCCTCAGGTGATGGACATCTCTGCTCTGAGAGAAGCAAACTATATTTTCTTTTTTCCTTTTATTACTTTTACCAACTTTCTTATAACAAGATTCCTAGATGGTACATAGGCACTGTAGCTTCTATTTTTGCAGCATTCTGGATTGATTGATTCATCAGCTGTTCCTTGGATCCTACCTGAACCACAATAGACCAAATATGTGGGACTGGCCTATAATGTTGCTTCAGCCACTGAATTCTGCATCACGTGCTCACCTAGGCATGACATGCATCATGTTGAATTAGCCACAGGGTGCTATGCAAGTACAGGGCCATGGCACCACTGACTGGTGTGACCCTGCCCCTGAAGATCCCTTAAATGTCCCGTAAACAGATGGCTGCGAAGGCCAACCGGTCGAACACTCCATTTGTGTATTTCATTATAAATAAAAGATGGGTATTTATTTATTTTTAAACCGATTAATTGAAAAAATAATCGGCCAACGAATCAATTACAAAAATAGTCGTTAGCTGCAGCCTGAGAGTAATCTTTGAACAAACTCATATTTTAACAGTCTAATCTGAAATCTCCCTTAGATCTATTAATAACTATTTAGTGCAAGG